GCTGTGGCGCAGTAGGTAGTGCTGCTGCCTCACAGCAAGAAGGTTGCTGGTTCGAGCCCCGGCTGGGTCAGTTGGCATTTCTGTGTGGAGTTTGCATGTTCGCCCCGCATTCATGCAAGTTTCCTCCGGGTGCACCGGTTTCCCCCACAGACCAAAAACATGCAGTACAGGTGAATTGGGCTAAGCTAAAATTGTCCATAGTGTATATGTGTGAATGAGAGTGTATGAGTTTCCTAGTGATGGGTTGCAGCTGGAAGGGTATGTGCTGGATAAGTTGGCAGTTTATTCCGCTCTGGCGACCACAGATCAATAAAGGGACTAAGCCGAAAAGAAAATGAATGAATATAATATATAGTAATATAAAGAATTACAATTCTTGTTTAAATATTCAACTATGTGATCACTTATTTTTGAAAATATAAAACAATTGGCAGCGCCTTTCTCTCAGTGCTCTGTGAGCTCAGCATAAATGACAGGTTGGAAACGTTTATTTTCAACAGGTGAGAAAATTTGTATTTTTTAACAAATAACTAAAATATTGTCCATGCTACTTTTATTTGTAATTTAAAAAGAAACATGACTAGCATGATTTGTTTTTCAGACAAGTATTTTACACCAGGCAGGGATGGCCAGTATTTATGATACAAGTATTTCAAATAAGTATTTCAAATATTGTATAATATCAAATTTGTACTTGATTACCAATGAAAATGGGTTTATATTTTGTATCAAAATACTTTAGTGTCTTGTATTTTTAAAATACTGTAAAATACTTTGTAAGAAGTCTGCATGATGACTGGCCTCTGATTAGTGCTTTTTCAGTTATTTGCCTAGACTTGAAATCAGAATAAGAAAATTATGAAATTATGCAACACACACAAAGAAAATAAGACAAATGGCAACAAAAGTCAACAATCATTAAAAATAAAATATTGCACAATGCTTAGACCAATAATATATAATGCCAGTAGTGTACAATATGTCATCAGCATCAGCAGGGCTGGGATGGGGAGAGGCATCACAGTTTTGGTCCAAAGCTACAAGGGAGCAGAGGAAAGTTATGGTGGTGGAAGAGGTCTCCCGAGTGAAGCAGGACTGCTACTTTATAAGGGCTGTTGCACAGGGCAAGCAAGGAGCATGGACCAGCTGGAAGGATGTCATTAACAGGGCCATATCCTGGGCAGATATTTGGCGAACTCCACCACCACGGCTGAGTTTCCTCGTAAGAGCAGCATATGATACCCTCCCCTGCCCCTGTAACCTTTCCCAATGGTTCTGAGGACAAATGCCCCCTGTGCGATAAAGCCAATGCAGACCTGCAACATATCCTGTCGGGGTGCAATGTTGGACTGGCGCAGGGCCGTTTTAAATGGCGGCACAATCAGGTGCTAAGAAAGCTGGCAGAGCATTTTGAATAATGCAGAGTACAAGCAAACTCAACATCAGCATGTCCTCTGCCAAAGATTAGGTTCCTCAGACCAGGAGAAGGGGGGCAGATCACAGGTACAAAGAGAACAAGGTGCCTGCTCATGCCTGGAAAGAGGTGGGAGATGCGCGTTGAAGGGGATGGCGGGGAGACATGCCCCCCCACCGGTGGTGTACTGGGTAGGGGGCGAAACATCATTGAACGGTGGTACCAACTGACGACCCTGCAGCCGATCCAAAAGTACACTGGAGGTTGTGCGGCAAGCAGTAATGTCAAGCAGGTAGTTAATACTTGTATTGGGGAAAAATTTAGTGTTTTAAAGAGTACAACTGCAAAACACATGATTTTTGGAAATTACTAAAACTGGAGATTTGAGCAGTTTTCAGAAATCATGTTTTTAAAGTAAGTTCAATTGCAAAAAAATCTATATTTATTGAACAAAAAAAAACTCTATATATCACCCTTTAAAATATACGACTGTTAAGAGATTATTGCAGGTTTTTACAGTGATTATTGAGACAGGGCCTTCTGTATGAAATTTGTACAAAATCTTAGCTAAAATGAAAGAGAAAGTCAGTTGAGAAATGAGAAGAAATGTCATGCTCCCTTGTAAAAGCATTTAGTAGTATTTTCAAAACACAGAGTAAAGTATTTTATTTTGATACATGTAAGACTGAGGTATTTGGTATTTTATTTTAAAATACATTTCAATGTATTTTGCCCATTCCCAAGTATACATATGTTTGTATGTTTGTATCTCCATCATGTTTTCAGCACTCTGATATGAGATCAGTGACGTGTTCTTTGATTGACTATTAATAAACTGTTCAGTAATTGGTCTAAGCCAACACGTCTGCTACTACTTTTATCTTTGGTTGCTGCCTGCTACTTTTATCTTGGGTGGCACCTACTAAGAAGTGCTAGGTGGACGAGTCCTGCTCGAGCCCCCACCACTAGTGAAACCAGCAGCATTTACTGTTTTCTGTGCTTCTGAACAAGGGCAGTTCTGACTGCTGCATCTTATCTGAAATGGTCTTTGAGAACATGTTTTTTTACACACATGAACCGCATCTGTGAGAAAAACACATCTTACAATATTAAAGTTGTGCATCCAAATGCCCTCCGCAGCCAATATGCTAACCCATGCACCAAAAGTTGAGAAACACTAATATTTCGGGGACAAAATATAGTTAAAGTCACAAGATAACACTTTACAATAACTACACTCTATGAATATTTTATTTATAACTGCAGATACAAATGCTCTACAGTATATATAAGCACCTATATAATGTGCATAATGATTATATTAATGATGAATACTATACAGTGTTTATTTTCTACAGTGTTTATTTACAGTATTTTCTACAGTGTAATTTAGTGTGAATAAATTTGTCAACTCTGAGCGGCTTTTGACAGTCACAGTGTAAAGATTCATTAATGGGATATCTAAGAAGCGCTGTTCGTAATTTGCAGTGGCGAAAGAACACTAAAGAATATGTTTTGAAAAATGCCTCAAAATATATACAGTTGATGTCAGAATTATTAGCCCTCTTGTATTATTAGCCCCTTTCTATATTTTTCCATTTAACAAAGATTTCATATTTCTAAACATAATAGTTTTAATAACTAATTTTAAATAACTATTCTTTAACTTTAATTTTCTAATATCTTTGCCATGATGGCAGTAAATAATATTTTACTAGATTTTTAAAAAAGGTACTATTCAGTTTAAAGTGAAGTTTAAAGGCTTAACTAGGTTAATTAGGTAAGTTAGGGTAATTAGGCAAATCATTGTATAATGAGGCGATGCAGTGGCGCAGTATAGTGCTGTCGCCTCACAGCAAAAAGGTCGCTGGGTCGAGCCTTGGCGCAGTTACCGTTTTGTGTGGAGTTTGCATGTCATCCCTGCATTCTCGTGGGTTTCCTCCGGGTGCTCCGGTTTCCCCCACAGTCCAAAAACATGCAGTACAGGTGAATTGGGTAGGCTAAATTGTCCAAAGTGTATGATTGTGTGTGTGAATATGTGTGTTTTATGTTTCCCAGAGCTGGGTTGCGGCTAAAAGGGCATCCCATATGTAAAAACTTGCTGGATAAGTTGGCGGTTAATTCCGCTGTGGCGACCCCAGATTAATAAAGGGACTAAGCCGACAAGAAAATGAATGAATGAATGAATTGTATAATGATGGTTTGTTAGACAAATCAATAAAAAAACTTGCTTAAGGAAAGTAATAATATTGCCAATAAAATGGTTTAAGAAATGCAAAACTGCTTTTATTTTAGCCCCCCAAAAATAAGACTGTTTCCCAGAAGAAAACAATATTATAGGAAATACTGTGAAAAATTCTGTGCTGTCACACATCACTTCAAACTACTTATTTTAGGAGTTTACACTTATATTGGTTGATGCTATTAGCAGGTTTAGCATGCTGAGAGAGCTCAGAGATTATCAATAAGCATAGAAAGCAGTCCGAGATCATGGTAGGTTTCGAGAGCTCCCCCTGGTATAGGGAGGAAAATGAGGAGATGGGTTGGAAGGGGGGATTCTTTCAAAATTAAGGTAGTAGGGCAAAATCTGTCTATTTATTGTAAACTTGAATCAATGTGATTAGACTATTACTGATTACGGATGAAAAATACAGATCAATCATATCCTGAGCTCCTCTTGAAATTTGTAAAATTTCGCTTAAAAATAAACTCAAATAACACAATTATTAAGATTTGTTCAAAACAGCAAAATTAGTATGTGCTCAATCCACTTAAATTTGTTAAGTTAACTTAATTGATTAATAATCAAGATTAATAAGCAAGAAAAAAACTTTGAGTGCACAATTGTGTTCTGCGGTCCAAACGAAGGCAGCATCTATACATTTTCTGTTTTGCTTTGTGATATTCTGCTAGTTCATTTTTTGTCCCTTTTCAGAGAAACGAAACCTCTAAACTACCCACAAAAATGTTTTGACTGGCTGGTGCAAAAAACTTGGCTTAAGTGGGTCAGAGCAGGCATCATTGCATAGTGTCTTTAAACTGAATTTTAAAATTCACAAAGCAGCCTTTACTTGCTGTGTAAATATGTCTTTGGAAAAAGGAAAGTAATGCAGGTATGGATGGATACACATGAATGTGAGCAAATGAAGAGATGATTTATTTCAGGAGCAACTATGCAGTAAATGGCAGCCATAATAATATTATTTTTTCTCGCATGCAATATCAAAACAGCTTTATCATAATTACGTCTGAACAAATGTGGCAAAGGCAACAATCATACTGAATACTTTCAGATAGCCGGTTGACCTCGGCCATAGTAATTGAATCAGAAAAGATAAATTGTTTTGCCTGGTCAGGTCTACACCATTCTCTTGCTCATCTTGTGATCGTAAGATGAGCTGCCGTCTCAAACCAACATTACAAAGATCTCATTTCCTGTTTATACACCAACAACCTCAGCATCCTGTGTTTAATTAAAACTCTTCAACACCAGATGCCTTCTGTTGCCACCTGCTGTGTGCTGCTCCCAAGAGAGCTAATGCTGTGTGACAAACCCTATTTTCCCAATCAATAACCAGCACCCAAACCTGTCACATCTATACTTCTCCAGCGCTCTCAAACTGCATATGACATACCGTTTGCATCGGAGATATTTTCTCCACCAGTACACGCATTACAGGAAGTAAAGGGGCTTCACAGAAACCAAAAGAAAAATTCTAATCTAAATAAAGACATTGGCTTCATAACTTCCTCTTTGTTAGATCGAAGCTCGGCAGCAATGGCACATAGTCGTCACTCATACAGCCCTCAGAACAGTTACGATGCCAACACGATGGATCTTTGAGGTTCGTATATTTGACTGTTGTGCTTTGTAGAACTAAATTTGATAACTGTAAAACAGCAGGTGTCAAAACCGGCTGTCATTTCAGAAGTTTGCACTGTATTATATTGTTGGTCAAATGTGGTTTCTATATAAAGTTAACTGAACTGTTAGTAGACCGATTTAGATTTGTTGAAGTAAAATGATTTTGCACTGAGTTTTGTGAGACTTAGAAATGTTAAAGTTTTGGTATAATTGACTAATATTAATATTTCACATTTTGTTGCCTTTTTTACTGACTATACTCACACTTGTGTTTTTGTATTCTTATTCTTATTCAGTTCTCTTCTTTTTATTTCTTGCCAATTTCACTAACCCTAAAAAGTCAAATGAAGTAAAAGCGACAATTCTGTATTTATCTTGTCCAGAGGCGAGTAGTAACAAATTACATTTACTTTGTTACATTTACTGGAGTTAAAATTTTCACTCCAAGATGTCAACAAGAATAGTTTGATAATGCGATATATGTTGTACATCGAACAGACATTCCAACATATACATGAATTACAGCTCCAACCTGAAAAACACGTAGTGGTGTCAATATTTTCCCACCTTGAACCTTATTAATAGTAACTAAAGAAACTGCTGTTTAATGAAACAACTGATTAGCCCTGCAAATAATTCATTCCAACTCTTAATCATTACAAATGTAACATTTAAACATTATAATATATAAACATAACATATTAGCCTTCTTTATATTTTACCTCAATTTCTGTTTAACAGAAAGAAAATTATCAACACAACACATCTTTGCTATAATGACAGTAAATAACATTTTACTAGATATTTTTCAAGATATAGTATTCAGCTTAAAGTAACATTTAAAGGCTTAACTAGGTTAATTTGACAAGTTAGCGTAATTAGGCAAATCATTAATGATGGTTTGTTCTGTAGACAATACAAAAATTGCTTAAGCAGGTTAAAAATATTGACCTTAAAATGGCTTTAAAAACATTAAAAACTGCTTTTATTTTAGCCACATAAATATACATTATATATATATATATATATATATATATATATATATATATATATATATATATATATATATATATATATAAACTAGTAACTATTTACTATTTACTTGAGTAATTTTGTCATCAGATACTTTTTTACTCTTATTGAGTAACTTTTAAGATTGTTACTTTAAGTACTTGTACTTTTACTTGAGCATAGATTTTGGATACCCAACCTATCTCAGATCTATTTATCCTCATGCTGTTTCAATGTATTTTTTATTTTTTACATAGGAAAGAAATATATATTTATTTAGAAGGTTTGTTTCTATTTAAGTGAAATTTAAAATAGTTTCTATGTTACTATTCTAGTTATTCTGAAAAAAAAAGAAAACTACTGTTAAAGTCGGTTATAAATATACACTGAGATAATTGGCACACTGCTGACACACAAATACATTTCAAACCAAGGACCCTTCATTGTCAGTGCAGATAATTCAGGTATCCTTGTGCTCTAAGGCAAGCTTCCAAACTGGCAGATTCCAAAATTTGGCTGAAAAAAAAAAAACAATTTGAAAATCAAATTGAAAAAATAATTTGAATTTTTTTTTTTTTTTTGAAATATTGAGAAATCACCCACAAATGTGTCCAAATTAAGTTTTTAATCATATTACTAATCATAAATTTTGTTTTGATATATTTACTGTATTAAATTTACAAGACATCTTCATGGAACAAAATCTTTATTTAGTATTCTATTGATTTTTGGCATTTAAAAAATCTATTATCTTGACCCATACAGAGCTTTTTTATATATTGCCCAAAATATACCCATGCAACATAAGACTGGGATTGTGGTCCAGGGTTCAGGTTAGAGTTTAGATCACAAGTAAATTTTAAAACTTTCAAAAAAAATGTTTGTTTATTAAGAGTCTTTTGGATAGATGCCTCAAATGAAAAATCTATATTTGGAAGTACAATCACTAAAATCACTGTAGCCCTTACACCCTTTTTTTCATCCCTACAAAAAAAATGTTCTTTGGTAAATCCAGTTATTTCAGAAAGAAAAATGTATGTTTTGATTTTAGATTTGTTATTATTTTTGAATAGTCTGAAGTTTGGCCACTTACAGTATTTTGCCACACATAAGTAAATAAAAACACAGAAATTGGACATGATACAAAAAGGTTTAATGGATGTGGTCAAAAAAAATGGCTGGACTAGAAACAGATGAGATGATGAGTCCAACAAAAATGCTTGTTTTGTGCACCAAATGAAATCATATACAAGGTGCATGTTTGTTTTGTTTTTGTATTTATTAAGATATCAAACCTCAAATTGGTAACATGACTTCTTTTTCTCATTTTTTTAAATATAATTTGTATTTTTTTATACGACTTATTATTATAGATTTAGAGTAAAAGCATGTTTTGACTTTGACATGTTTTATGATTTTCCCCAAGAGTGGGTGTTAAATTTACTTTTCTTTTTTTTTTTTACTATGAATCAGGCATTTACGGTCATATTGTTTTTACATTATTGTCCATTTTATGATCAAATCAGGAATACCTTCATGGACCATAGCACAACTTTGCCTGTCAACATGGAGACTGAAGTTCCTCAAGTGTATCGGATTGCCAGCCTAGTGTTTTACGGCATTATCTTCATCATAGGCACAGTGGTCAACCTGACAGCCCTCTGGGTCTTTGCCTTGACCACTAAAAGACGAAACTCCATCACTGTTTACATGATCAATGTCGCTTTGGTGGACCTGTTATTTATCTTACAGCTGCCCTTTCGAATGGTCTACTACAGTCAAAACTATTGGCCCTTCGGGGACATCTTCTGCAGGATTAACGCAGCACTGACTGTACTCTATCCCTGCCTGGCTTTGTGGCTCTTTGCCCTCATTAGCACAGATCGCTACGTGGCCATAGTGCAGCCGCGGCACACACGAGAACTAAAAAGCATCCGTAAAGCCTTGCTGTCCTGTGCAGGAGTCTGGATCATGACCCTGGGCAGCACGGCTCCACTCGTCTTTCTCGAAGAAGATCCAGATCGTGGATCAAACTTCACAACTTGCATCAAGATGCACGACATCATCTACCTGCGCCGTGACAACCCTGTCCACTTTGCACGAATCGTCTTCTTCTTTCTAGTGCCGGTGTGCATAATGGTGGGCTGTTACATTACCATCGTGGATAACCTCATTCATGGCCGCACATCCAAACTGAAGCCCAAAGTAAAGCAGAAGTCCATCAGGATCATCATCACACTGATCATTCAGGTGCTTGTGTGTTTTGTGCCTTTCCACATCTGTTTTGTTTCCATGCTGCTGGACACCAATGGGAAAGGTTACAACACCTGGGGTGCCTTCACCACCTTCCTGATGAACTCCAGCACTGTGCTGGACATCATACTCTTCTACATCGTGTCAAAGCAGTTTCAGGATCGTGTGATCAGTGTGATCCTGTACAGGAACTATTTAAGGAGCGTTCGCAGGAAGAGCCGTCACACCAACAGCGTTCGCTCGCTCAGTAATCTGACCAGTGCCATGATCTGAGGAAAAATGCAGCTGGCAATGACAATGTAAACAAGCTGGTGTTTGGAAATAAATAGCAGACCAAGATTTAAATAGCAAAACGAGATGAATGTTGGTCAATCCATGAATTGAACTCTTTCTTTTCAAATATCATGTGAGCAAGGAGACAAATCACATGGTATAGATTCATTGCAAGTTGCTGGACTGAATCGCTGATCATTCGCATAAAATCAGTTTTGCTGCCGGATATACAACACCAACCAAGTAAACTGTGCTGGAAGTCACAAAATGTGGACACACCCTTTCAAACTGTTTGTTTTGATTTGTTGTTTTGAGCTTTTAAAAGTGAGTAAAAGTTTTTAAAAGGTTTAAATTTGGATGATACAATCAGGGCCATATCGTGTCAAACTTTCCATTACATTATAATTCAATCAAAAATATGTACAGTATATGAAATTAGGGAATGTGCTTGCACATTACAGCAGGAAGTTTGAAATGATTTCCTTTGCAAAATCTTTGCAGTTCTTGCACAATCTGTGCAAAACCAGTTATTCTTTTTCTGAGCATGCTTTTTATCACAGCAAGTATGATCTTCAGAAAGAGTCAATGTCTTTGATGGGGTTAGTTCAAAAGACGTGTACCATACTGTATGTTGTCTTTCTAGAAGTGTAAAACATTGCCATTCAATCTGGATTGCAATACACATTACATTTCCCAAAAAAGGGAAAAATAAGTATTTAAATTACATAGCCTATTGTAAGAGCACTTTATTTTTATATTTTATATTATATTATGTTTAAATGCCCCTATTATCAAAGTAAATAAAATATATTAATAAAAAAATATGTTTAAAAAATTATCTTAAAAATGCACCAAATTTCTTTAATAAAATCTGATCAGTGAAATTAACCTGGAGTAGGCAGTTTCTATACTTCACATGACAGCAAACCTAAACTGTAGTATACAGGACACCAGTGGGTGGCGCTACTTACCAGGGCACAATTACAGCTATTTGTCCCAAGATCACCATAAGGTGGTGTCATATCATGTAAACAAATTACTTGATAGTGGCATTATAGGTGCTCAAAATTTTGGATTCTACTATTTTGTCCTTTTTTTTTGTTTTTTTTAATATAAAATATGACTACTAATAGTCAAATTTCTTCTTTGTGTAACTGACATTGTGGTGACATGCTTTTTTTATCTTTCTCATTCTGTTATAATTATTATGCAGATTTTTTTTTTACTTCATGTTAATTGAGAGATTTTATGGAGTATTTTGGGTTTTAAATGTTGCACTGCAAAACCATTTTTAATGAATTGTTTTTTTAAGACTTGAGGTAACTATAAAATCTTAGCATTCATATTAATTTTAAACTAAACTCTGTGTTGTACATTAAAAACCAATATACTTAACAATACTATGCACTTTACTTGATTAAACAATTCTTAACATGGATGTACTTTGTATTTTTTAAATACTATCTTCAATAGGACCATCTTGTCTGGTCAAATTTTTTTTTTAACACTTTTAAAGCAGATTCATTTATTTAATCACTTTCCTTTGACTCAGTTCCTTATTTATCAGAGGTTGCCACAATAAACCGCCCTTTGATACAGATTTCCTATGAAATTTGAAACTCCAAATGACAGCAAATAAGTGATAAAAACCAAAAATTCTCGAGTTAAATAATAACCATCAGCTGTCAGTCTTCGAAAATGTGAGTTTCACTGCTTTACTGAAAACTTGGAGCCCTGGTATAGTTTGTGTATGTGATAAACTATCAGGTATGGGAGTAGTTTAACTGGACACAATTATATATAATTTATGGATTTTAAGGCAATTTTTAAATGAGAGACTGTTTTATTTTATTCCAGTTGTAAAATGTAAAACTACTGTAACAAATTATTTTTGGTTGATGTTATTCTTAAGTTCTTTTTCAGTTTAGAAAAATAAATATCAGTTAAATGTCTGATAATACATTTTTGGTTCACTGAATAAAATTGTTTACGTTTCAGTCATGAATAAGTCTGAAGCACATCATAAAATAATGTAACAAATTAATAAATTGCTAGTAGCTGTATATATAAGGAATTGGATAAGTACTCAGTATACCCAGGTATCAAAATTGTTATTGGAAAAATAAAAAAAAAGTGACTTATAACATCTCAAAATCCAAACACTTCTTGCCAATTGTTGTTCATAAAAACTAAGAATTCAGAAAAGATATACACTTTAAACATTTATTGACAAAGACAACAAATATTTTGATGTTCTAAGTTAAGTCAGTTTTCAACTAAATTACTAAAGATCCAGCTTTACAAAGATTGATATGTTTTGTCAGTTTGATTGAAGCAAGATCACTAGATCACTAGACACTAGTGCTGTGCGATTTGGGGAAAATATCTAATTGCAATTTTTTTGTGACAGATATTGCAATTTTAATTTGATTTGCGATTTAATTTTGTAGTCAAGCTTCAGCTCAATAATCTGTATCGTAGCTTCTTACTGCAAAAATGCAGTGTGTTAGTTAAAAAAGGGGCTAAAAATATTAAGCTACTTATTTTAAATATTCATGAATGAAATACCCACAGTAGATACAAATAAAATGATCTTACCTTTCTTTAAACAAGTTGAACTCAAATTAGGGAGATAGTGTAGCTTATTATGAGAGCAAAAAAAAAGATAATTATAAAAATACAGAACACTCAGCAAACTAACTTGGCTGAAACAAGCCTGAAATTGTAATTTGCTGTTGCTTGCTACTAGACTGAGTGTCACTTGCAATACTTTCAGCTGACTTTTTAGCAAGACACTCATCACTACATTGTGTTCATTCAAAGGCAATCACACACAGACGGCAGTCATGCATTTGCTGTGGGCAGGGGAAATTAAATAATACAAATATATTTCATATCGCATACCCTTAGCTAATTGCAATGTTTCAAATCGTGACTGGTATTTGATTTCGATTAATTGCACAGCCGTATTAGACAACTTAATCTGATTCAACTTTAGGTCATCAAGATTTTTTTTTTTTTTTTTACAGTAGTCTTGTCTTGCATACCGTTTTTCAACTACTATGTAGGTAATGGGTATGTTTGGACAAAAAAGTCACTTAATTTATTTCTAAATGAATGATCCATTTGAAACAAACCATTTGAATTAACGATTCAACAAATCAGGGACTTGCCGCCACCTACATGTGGTTTTAGTGTCATATGTTACCATATTTATCCATCCATGGTAGGCCTAACCAGTTAAGGTACCAGCAAAAAACAAGCAACATGACTGTATGTTAGACTCCTCAGATCTACAGTATTAATACTACTGCAAGTTGTGCATGGCAAAAACGCAACACACACACTTCAGCAACCCCACCTGATACACATCACAGCAAGTTAATGGAGACAGACACTCTCTGAGCAACTGCAGTCTTCTGACCGGCCCATATGATGAATTATCTGGAAGCTTTCTCAGTAATTTCAAATCTTCATAACAAGTGCTTTTGCCTTAGGAAAAATTAATGGAAACAAGATTGTCTTTCATTTGAGTTGATTTAGCCGCCTCGGCAGCCAGATGTCTCTCTCTGGGAATAAAACAGTCGGTGCTTAAACAAAGCCCAGCAAAAAAATACCTTTTTTTTGCTGCTCGTGTTACAAACAAATCAGCCGGCGCACAATGGCCATCTGTTTGTTATTTGATATGTGTGAATACATGTTGTAATGACTTTGTTTGTGAATCAGTCAGTGCACTGGAACACACGAGAGCTCTCCAAGTGGCGGAGTGTTTGGAGCTAATCATATAATTGGACACAATAGTCAATGACAAATGGAGTTGCACGGAGCCAGCCAGCTGGGAAGTGAATATGTAATCATTGTAAAATCATATCATTTTGCATATTTGAAGACAGCTTAATAGAGTTTGCTTGTCAGCACACTATCAAGTGATGATCAGAGTGGGCCCGCGGTGTGTGTTTGGTGGGATATTGCTCCACCGCGTCTCTAGTGACTTCAATGAAGTTCGTACGGTGTTGTTTTTATGCCTCAGCTGTTGCAGTTTTATATTGTGATATGGGAATTATAATGGGATTCTACTGTTCGTGAGCACTTATACTAGAGCCAAATTCACAAATCATATAAAAAACATGACTGGAACTGGTAGTGTCTGACTAGCTTCCTCTGACTACTCAAGAGGAATGTGATTCATGTTAATGGCTTAACAGTGAACATGTTTGAACTCCAGACTTGTGTGATTATGACTCAGCATCCTTATCGAAAATATTGGCATAACCAATAAAAAATAGGCAGTTTCATCAGACATGATTCACAATTGTTCATAATGACAAGTACTATTGTGTTGTTCTAAAGACTGAAGTACAATTAATGTGAAAAAACGGTTGTAATAAGTAATATGATGAAGGTTGCAACAGATCTTTTCTACCTATTTGGGGTGTATATTCAAATAACAGATTTATATTTAATCACTCAATCACTCACTACACAGCCTAATGGTTTTTAAAAAGATTGCTCAGTCATTCATTCATTTTCTTTTCAGCTTAGCCCCTTTATTAATCAGGGGCCGCCACAGCGGAATGAACCGCCAACTTATCCAGCATATGCTTTCCGCAGTGGTGCCCATCCATACACATCCATACACACTCATTCACAAACATACACTATGGACAATTTAGCTTACCCGATTCACCTATAGCGCATGTCTTTGGACTGTGGGAGAAACCGAAGCACCCGGGGGAAATCCACGCGAACACGGGGAGAACATGCAAACTCCACACAGAAACAGTTAAGTGACCCAACCAAAGCTCGAACCAGCAACCTTCTTCAACCTTATGTTTTAATTTAAAAAATAAAGTTTAGTAATTTTATTATTTATAGTAATTTAAAGCTAAAGTAAGTAGCTAAGAAATGTCCTGAAATATTATTAGGTATTTTTACAAAATATCCCTACAGAGGTCTTTCATCATATTACCTCAAATTTGTATTACAACTACCAAATTAATTCATTTTTCTTCGACTTAGTTCCTTTATTCATCAGGGATCACCACAGCTGAATGAACCGCCAACTTATCCAACATATGTTTTACACAGCGGATGCTTTTTAAGTTGCAACCCAGCACTGGGATACACCCACACACTCTCACATTCACACACATACACTAAGAACAATTTGGCTTAGCCAATTCACCTTTAGCGCATCTTTAGACTCTGGGGCAAACCGGAGCACCTGGGAGAACATGCAAACTCCACACAGAAACACCAACTGGCCCAGCTGGGGCTCGAATCAGTGATTTTTTTTGCTGTGAGGTGACAGGGCTAACCACTGAGCCAACATATCAACCTCTAAACCAACAAATTTTTATGCAGAGTTTTATCATACTTATGCAGGGGCATTTTGCACCATGTGGTCAAGCTTTTAAAGAATCTGGTCTGGAATTCCCAGACATCCCCAAGCAGAGAGAAAAAAAAACCCATATCTTATCCAAAAACCATGCCAAAAGTGGCATATTGGCCTAATGAATTGAGGTGCATAATGGTGTTTGACAGCGATTGGATGGTGCCCTTCATTATCTCTACAGCCACAGAAATCTCAGAAAACGCCTCATGCGGTTCCCTGCGGTGCTTGTATTTACCCTTACTGGCTTTTGCATTAAGATCTTGTCTGGTCAGAAGTGGGGAGAAAGACCTTGCGCTCTTTAATCCATATCATAAGCTGTGATCTCCCAGAGAAAATGCGTTCAATGCAAAAGACAAGTCCCATTGACCCGTCAGTTA